CACGGTGAAAGCTGATCCGGCGATCCACAGCGCGAAGTTGATGTATTTCCTCAGCGACCACCACGGATCAGCTCTAGGCATGACGAAGCGGATATCGTCCTCTTTTGGAATACCAAACTAAGTAGTTTTGTTTTTACAACGAAACACAGCGTCTCCATGACATGGCGGCAGCAACAATACTACAGCGAGAATAAAAGTTACACCTTCTTTCTTTGAGTGAACATTTGGGCGGCGTTTTGCAAATCTTCCCACATCGTGACGTAGACATGTGTGGTTGACTCTTAACTTTTATAAAGAATATCTCTTTGGATTTGAGACTTTAGTCTTTGCAACTTTACAGATCTTCTTTATGCACCAAGAGCTTGTAACACTCCAAAGAGAAAGGAAAAATTGAAATCGCATCATATGACCCCTTTAATAATGTAATGTTGGCTCTTGAAATATTAACACTTACATTGAGATGAAAAGCTTTACTATAAATCATCCTTACCAGCATTACGAAGTCTCTCTTTATACTGCTGATCAAGCTTCTTCATTCTCTTCTGGTACTCCTGCAGCGTGCCTGTAGAAATGCATAGGTGATCTAATTTACTCATTTTTAGCTGACATTTTTTATCCACAGAGATGTATTGTACACTTATTACAGGGACAATAATGGAGTAACCAAGTCTTGATCAAGAGCACAATGGTGGTAGATTACATTATTTGAACAACCTTTTGTTTACCAGCCTAGTTCATCAACTATCAGGCTACATCATCTTTTTAGATCACTATCCATCAAGCCAGGACATTTTTCTCAAAAAAATAAAAATAAAAACCCCAACAACAACAAAAACATCAAAATATATCATATTTTTAAGGTATCAGTGTCCCTGTGCTAGCAGAGACAATTTTCTCCGTAATATATTGTGTTGTTAACAGGCTGCCTTCTACCACTTGTTTTACTGAATAACAACATGTGAACAAACAATAATGCCTTTATATAGAGTTTATATATGTTCAGTACCCTAATAGTTATACTAGTAAAGGTAAAAGTAATAGTAGTATATATCTTTTTCCCAAAGAAAAGCATAAGTTTGTTGATGTACAGTAACAGTATTTCTAAAAATATATATAACTTCAATAGTGAATTTATGTTCTTCTAGTCACCTTCTTGCAGTTGTTGTAGCTGTCTTTTCAGGGATGCCAGTTTGTCCTGATACATCCTGAAATCAAGACAAAAACAAAATATTTTAAAGAAAGTTTTATTTCATAGCATGCAAATAATAGCAGAAATGTGTCATATACATGATTTTCACAGGAAAGAAAGAAAAAGTATAGATTAAAAACGTAATATTAAATAGATATGTGCATTATCAAAAACAATAATAGTAATAAAATAAAAGTTTTGAAAAAATGGCAGTGAGTAATATATACAGTACTTGTATGACATACACAGACAGTACTGTAATGCAGAGTTCATTTCATTTTAATAAATAATACTCAATTTGTGTATCTCTTGGCATGAATGAATGCTAGTCAATTGGTACTTACTGTTCTTTGATTTCAACATAATCGTTCTCATCATGTTTGGCCAGATCTGTTTCACTGGCATCTTCCGTGTCTATAATAATAACAAAAAATATAGCAATACATTAATTATACACTATAGGATATGACAGTTATGGAAGAACTTGACTATCTTGCACAAAGCACAGATTTGACCCCACCAAACTACTTTGGGATGCCAAACGTTTGGACAGTTTATTGAAGTGATAACTGCACATATACAGCACCATCTAGCGGACAGACATGGTATCTCAATGTCATTTTCTATGGTAATTAAACCAGATATTACATGTTGTATAATATATTATATTATATGATCTGCTATCTGGGAACTGTCACAAGTTGGTTCTAAGACTAAATCTGAAGTACCAATAATAAACAAAGACCTAAGATAATTAAAATGACATAAATAAACAAAGCACACATTTCAGCCCTAATGCAAAGACAACTAGCCACACTAAAAGACAAATACTATATGTAGCTGCTTTTATCCAGGTGAGATTTTTTTTTTAATTAACGTAACTTCAATTCAGCAATGATGCATAATTGATCAGAACTGACAAGATTTTTTACTTCTAGTAAACACTGTACTTGTGAGCTGTTCATCAAAGAATCCCGAAAAAGGTGCATCACAGTTTTACAAAATTATTAACAAGCACAACATTGATCATAATAAGAAATGTTTCTTGTACATCAAATCAGCATATTAGAGTGACTTCTGAAGGATCATGTGGCACTGAAGACTGGAGTTATATATATATATATATATATATATATATATATAAAAGTTAAGAGTCAGCCACACCTACCTAAAATGGCTCGTTCTAACACGCCCCCACGTCTACGTCACGATGTGGGAAGATTTGCATAACGCCGCCCAAATGTTCACGCAAAGAAAGAAGGCGTAACTTTTATTCTTGCTGTAGTACTGTTTTTGCCGCCGCCGCCATGCCGTGAAGACACTGTGTGTTTCGTTGTAAAAGCAAAACTACTCTGTTTGGCCTTCCAAAAGAGGACGATATCTGCTTCGTCATGCCTGGAGCTGATCCGTGCTGGTCACTGAGGAAATACACCAACTTTGCGCTGTGGATCGCCGGCGGCTTTCACCGTGGACGAAGCGGAGTCCAGCCCGGGGTCGTCACATGTGGTTGCCGCAAGCCCTCCGGCTGCTCCTTTGTCGAATCCGCCGGTAGCGCCGTTCTCAAGCCCGCCTCCGCTCACTCTAGCCCGCCGTGTGTTTCGTTGTAAAAGCGAAACTACTTTGTTGGCCTTCCAAAAGAGGACACGACTAGAAATCAGTGGTTAAGTTGTATTTACAACACTGTTCCAGAACAGTAGGGCTGCACGATTAATCGAATGTGATTGTCAAGCCCATTTTGTTAGTAAAGCCGGTTCTGTAATCAGCAGTAAATCATCATCACGTGCTTTCAGATGGAGCAGAATTCACTACACAGAGCCGTAGTTCACTGACAAGTTACACAAAAAAAATCGTAATCTTAGAAACATTGCCAAGTTACAAAACATGTTACCTGTTTCTGATGCAGAGAGATGATGCCAACCCTGAAACAACATACAGAACTACCACATTTTGCTATAAGTTTGATTGCATCATATAATAATTGCTGTTAATAGTGTTCATCGTCTGTTTTATTACATCTTAAATAGATTTTTCCGTACATTTCTGCCATATGTACATTAACTGTCAGTCACCACTGATAAGCTACCACTAAATATTGTAGAAACTTCATTTGCTGTAAAGTTGCTTTGCAATGATTTGTATCGTGAAAAGCGCTGTACAAATAAACTCGACTTGACATTCTCAACAGAGCGACGAATCGACAAGTCACTATGGAAACGGATGCTAAGAAAAAGCTCGCCATGCTGTTTCTTTCTTCTTCTTTTGTTCAATGGTCGTTTACATGCTTAGTGCATATCGCCACCTAACTGATGGTTGTGCAATCATTTTTATTTTTTTCCGTTTAATCTTTAATCCTTGAGAATATGAATTATATTGTTTGTTTGATGATATTTATATTATAAGTCATATCAGTTATGTATTTTTTATTATAGAAATACATGATAGAAAATGCCGATCCATGTGTGAGATGATAATATAAAATGTAATAAATATATATGAAGAGTTAATTTGCAAAAACAGATAACTCCGTTTTTAACAATTCTCAGAAATCATGTTTTTTTTCCATTGTGCATTCCAGTTCATCTCAATCAAACTGCAGTTGGGTTATTTTGACTAGGTTAAAAAATAAAAACCCGCTAACATAATAAAAAGTTTTTGCAAATAAACTCTTCATATAATATAATAAATTAAACATTAATTTGTCATAATAGTGTTTTATAATTTATACAAATAACTGTTATATATGGCAATAAAATAAATATAATAACCATATTAGAATAATATTACCTTATTTATTGCTTATATAAGCGCTTTATAATTAACATATCATACAACTAATATACAGTATATATAGTAGGCTATATTACATAACTATATTGTAATATTATATAATGTTGTGCGCTATCTGTCACGCCCACTGAAGGCCCGTCAGTAGGTCACGTGTGCGCTGATGGCTCTGAAGTCAACAAGCCCTGGAAGCAGGTTATCTTCAGAGAGCAAGTTGCTATGGTTACTTACATACCCTGAAAGTAACCTCCGATTTTGGAACCGAAAGCTGGGGTTAACCGCTCTCTTATCCTCAAACATACCCGGGTATGTCACATAACCTGCTTTCTGAAATACACCCCTGACTTCGAGGCTGTATGCATGAAAACAACAACAACATCCTACATATTGTAATTGCTTCCTGACGCGTGCTAACGGCTAACTGATTATCAACAGGCTGGATAGCACATAAAACACACAACTATGAGAAAACGCATAACCATTACACGGTTAAATGCTTACACAGCCATCATTTAATAACTCAGACGAGGTTGCAAAAAGCCAGCGAGCTCTACAATAAACAAAACAACTCGACACATGTACACACTTTCCTGCATGTGTACTCTTCACAGAGCCAGTATTTCATTAGCAATCTACAGCCAGTTCCCTCATTAACAAATGAAACATGTCTTTCAATCCATAAATCATACGTGAAGGGGATTAAAAGGTAAATAAACTTAAACTATTGTGCGTAATCACCTTCTTCCGAGTCTCTGCCTCTGAAACTGCGATCTTCATCCACACTGTCTAGCTCCTCCTCGTCGTTATAATAATCCACCATGGGTGACAGTAAAGTCGAGGCCATTTATTATATTCAAAAACGGATAATATTGCAGGAAATGCCTATGTGTAAACAATCACACTGCACCGACAACGTTTTCAGTCTCGATTCGAGCCTCTTTTTTCAATGGAGGGTAGGCCGAGGAATCTGATTGGTGGAGATGTTCGAGCAATGCATGCTGGGAAATGTAGTTTGAACAGCTTGTGCGCAAAGTATGACATAAGGGAAAGAAGAAAATGGTAAGAGAGAGTGCGTGTGTGTGTGTGTGTGTGTGTGAGAGAGAGAGAGAGAGAGAGAGAGAGAGAGAGAGAGAGAGAGTATAGTCTCTCTATTGCAGGAAATGCCTATGTGTAAACAATCACACTGCACCGACAACGTTTTCAGTCTCGATTCGAGCCTCTTTTTTCAATGGAGGGTAGGCCGAGGAATCTGATTGGTGGAGATGTTCGAGCAATGCATGCTGGGAAATGTAGTTTGAACAGCTTGTGCGCAAAGAAGGGAAAAAGGGAAAGAAGAAAATGGTAAGAGAGAGTGCGTGTGTGTGTGTGTGTGTGTGTGTGAGAGAGAGAGAGAGAGAGAGAGAGAGAGAGAGAGCGAGTGAGAGTATAGTCTCTCCGCGTTTCAAATGTATTGTTGCTATTATCATTCAAGGAACATGAAGATTTTCTGAAGTTGTCTGTACGCTAAACACTTCTGCCCTTCAGTCATGCACTATTATCTCGGTAAGCGTATTAATGTTATTATGAAAAGACATACAAGAAAATACATGCTCATCTATGATTTAGTGCCATTATTTGTCTGTAATAGGAATTGTTTTGCATGCACACTGAGTTTCATTTCCATGTTTCATTATGTTTCATGCATTGTGCAAAGTTCATTCGTCACGTATTCACAAACAATGTAGCCTATGTTTTTGTAATTGCTTATCATCATTATTGCCAATTTAGTTTTCCTCATGAACAAGCGTGTAATAAGTGAAATAAGTGATACTGACTAATTCATAAAATCTATAAAATGTGTATTAGAAATATATTAAAATTATTTTTCGAACAGCATCTCTCGATTGTGTTGCATAAAACAGGCATACTACGCTGCTGCTGCTGGAAATAATAATAATAATAATAAAGACATTAGAGAGCAAATAATTGTAAAAAACTATATTAGAAACTTAATACAAATTACAATAAGAAACAAACTATATAGCATAACATGGGTAGAACAACAATAACAAAACAACATAAAAATTATAGCTAATCATAATAGCTAATTGTAATAATAATAATTATAACATCATCATAAAATAGATTTGTTAGGTGATCAGTTAGCTATTAGATTCACAGATTGGAATAACAGGTGTTTAACATAAGATTCAGCCTAAATTGATCCAACTCATGCTTGATCAGACACATGCATGTACATACATATTGTAATATATTATATAAACTGGCCATGCGAGGTAATCTACGTTAAATCCTCGATCTAATTATCATTACACTAGTTTATAATCCTATCATACCCTTTTTCAGGAATCTGCCACTGTGTCATCTCTATTGTGTCTTTATGGCTTGTTCCTCGCTCAACCGGCAGGTGGCGGCGTTGAGTTTAAAAGCTGTTTGACTCGTGAGCTCGTTTGTCAGCGCTGTTACCTTGTAGCAGGTACGATGGGGTTTTAAAAGCGAGAGACGCTTGTCGGGTCTTTGTCAGTGGCGCGGGGTTTAGTACAGTCTTTATGCTGGATATCATAACACGAACTGACTATATGGACGTTTTATCATCAAACTGACGGGAGAGATAGACATGACGTCTGTTGAAAATAAAACAGGTTGATGTATTTTCAGGTGTAGGAGCACCAAGACGCCAATTGCAATGACTTTGGAAGTTTATCTCCCTCAACATTCCACCTTACAAGGGCTACAGGAGAAATAAGGGGGATTTGTACTGTTCGTCGTTGAGGAGAGCGTTCATTCGCCTGGAGACATTTGCTTTTAACCGGACTTCTATGGAGTTGGACCTGGATTAAAGAAAAAGCTTCGCTGACTTGGTAAGGCCGTTTTTTTTCTTGGCATTCACATTTATTGTGGCTTTGTCAGCTCAGCTGTTTTGTCTTGCAGGGGTATTTTATGTTTGTAATACGCTGCGCCGTCAATTAAAAGCGTCTTTATCGTATCTGGTGTCACTGCTCGCCTCTCCATAGATGACCTCTGCGCTCGATTGATTTTCCCTCGGTGAACCTACTTCATAAAGTAGAACATACTTGACTACAACTGATTGTTTGTTTACACTCATAGACTACATCCAGTATATCCAGAAAATTTGTTTTTGTGACGTATGTTGACATACGTGAATTATTTAATGATTTCATGCATTTTTAATAGTTAAGTTTTCATGTGCTCCAAAGACAGCTAGGCCTATATTTCTTCATTTTGACTAGCTACTTCTAATATCCATACTAGATTGTTATTGTAATATGTGACGCAATGGATTTTTACACTTTATTTTACACTTTAAAGTTGGAAAAGCCTTGGTCTTGCTAACACAACCATTTTAAACCCACACACAGCTATCCTTGTGGGGACTCTCCATAGGCGTAATGGTTTTTCTACTGTACAGACCGTATATTCTATTGCCCTACACCAAACCTACCCCTTACAGGAAACTTTCTGCATTTTTAGATTTTCAAAAAACTGAATTCTTTATGATTTATAAGCTTCTGTACCCGTGGGGACCACAATTTAGGTCCCCACCGTGACACGAGTCCCCATGAGTCTGTGTGTAGTCAGGTTTAAGTCCCCACCAGGATATATAAACCAGTGTACACACACACACACACGTCTGGTCAGCTATCCTTGTGGGGACTCTCCATAGGCGTAATGGTTTTTCTACTGTACAGACCGTATATTCTATTGCCCTACACCAACCCTACCCCTAAACCTACCCCTCACAGGAAACTTTCTGCATTTTTAGATTTTCAAAAAACTTCATTCTGTATGATTTATAAGTTTCTGTACCCATGGGGACCACAATTTAGGTCCCCACCGTGACACGAGTCCCCATGAGTCTGTGTGTAGTCAGGTTTAAGTCCCCACCAGGATATATAAACCAGTACACACACACACACACACACACACTGTATTATTTCCTGATTTTTAATGGTGAATAGTAAAATTCTGTCAAATGTAACATTTTTACAAATGAGAGAAAATTAAGACAAAAATGAAGAGTGAGGGTAAAAGTGCTTTGCGCATCTTTAACGTTGGTTTGCCAATCTGCCAAAAAACTCGAGAGAAGAAGAAAAGTGCTTTGCATAGACTCCTGGGTCGAGATGTCATGCACTTATTTCCGTGAGCGAATGTATGCGTGTTAGTGAACTTCACTAACTTATATGCGCACGCGGCTATTCATCCAGGAAGTCTGATAGACAGACAGACAGACAGACAGACAGACAGACAGGCGACCATGGGTCATCATAACGTTTAAAATAATCAATTTCCGGCTGGAATAAATGATTTATGACGGCGAATTTTGCCCTTGAGCTCTCAGTCACCCTACAGAAAAGAGGTCAGTATCATTTACTGCATTTCTATGAGTTTCGTGGATAAAACTGTCAAAGGTTCTGCGTGACACACATCCGTGCACATTCATTTCAAAGTCATGCAAAAAGAATAAAATACAACGCAGAGATCCGGATGTCAGGAAGGAGTTGATATATTTGAACGTAACACCTGCTGGCTCTTTGCAAAGCTGGTCAGTTTGCTAATCTAACTGTTCTCAGCCCTATACCACCCAAACTTTCACTTCCTCTGCAGTGCAAATCCTCAATGCGTTCCTATTCGTATAACTTCGATGCATACTGACTCGTTTAAAAAAGGAGCGCGTGAGAAGCACTATTCGTTTCTAATGCAAGTCGCTGTGTAAAGACGCGCTCCAGTCGTTAAAATGAAAGTGCGTACAGTTTGACATATTCAGAGATGTGAGGGCTGATGTCATGTTGGGCTGTTTTATGGGTGTCCTTGGCTCTTTTCCCCCCTCGTCTTCAGCCCCCGCTCCTTGTGTAGCTATTTTAAGCAGCGCGTCTCTTTCACACGCATGCAGCGTTCTGTCGGATGGAGATCATCATGAAGTTTATATGCACGAGGAGCGCAGGATAGAAACATCTCATCATGAGGATGAAGGTACATTTTTCTACCGTTATTTGGCGTTGTGCGTGAACTAGTATAGTCGTTTTTGGCTTCATTTGTAGTTGTAAAGAAATAAGTGATGATAGATGGCAGCTGGTGCGATTCGTATTGGTGAATTATAAAATCTTAGATGTGAATCTAGTACGTCTTTTCATATAAGCTAAGTTACAGGCTAATTATTGACGATTTCTATGCATTTTCTTTATGATTTGTCTTGTGGTCATGATGAATTGTCAATGTTTGATTCGTAGCATTTTCCGAATGAATCATTCATGTGAGTCGAATCAGTTCTACAGAGCTATTCGTTGACGAATCTGACTGAATCGTTCCGAGCGGTTCTTGAGTCAACGACTCAGTGAGTGAACTCATTGAACCGAGAACCGTCTTTGTCCAACAAGTTCGGTTTCTAATGATCTGATATGTTTGTTTCAGTGATGACAATTGCCCAAAAAAATACTGCTTGAATAAATATTCATTTTAATCATACATTTGTTATATTTAGATCAACACTCCGATAAACTTCATTCATTGTGGGTTGCGAATATATTTATCATTTTAGATTAGCAGCCTCAATTTTCAAGTAAATATGAATTTGTTCACTAGCATAGTAGAAAAGGCTAGTGCCTAAAGATCTATGCTGGTTATACTAAAGAACTGAGCCCTGCAAGTGGTGATCCTTGAACTATCAGCATTTGCATTTCTTTGATCAAAGCACTAAATCCAGGGTTCCTCAAGAAGGTATTTACCTACTTACGATAAAGCTCTTCAGTACTGATGTGTGGACATTGTGAGACCATTGTACTGTTGGTTTCATGTACACTTTTTTTAGTTTAGTTAGTTTATTATAAATAAATGACTGATTAAGGTGAACTCAGGGACAGTTGTGTGTCTGTGTGTTACTCAAGGTTTAATGGTTTATTGCTCTCACACACATCCTTTATAGATGCTCTTATCTGATTGCTGCATGTTTGGTAACTGGGACATTCC